TTGCTTCTGGCAAGATTCCTGTCTTCTCTGTGCTTTTGATGAACATTTTGGTTTAATACAGTATTTTCTGAACAAAACTAATTTTAAGTATTTACCACATATAGACTCTTTTAATGAGTGTATACTCCATGAAAGTCTATGTGTATATACAGGAAGCAACGGAGACCACACGACTCAATATTAAAGCAGTTAAACTGAACTTCAACTACCCAACAGCATTTGCAGGTGCCAGAGGCACTTGCCACTAATCACCAAGCCAGGTGACTTTCATAGGACACAGCCCATGCGCTCTTACTTTACCAGAGACCTCTCAGTACAAACAGGTAGTTGTATCTCCAACTCTCCTCCTTTGCCTTGTTTGTCTTCTGCTGGTTTGGGTCACACTCTACCTAAATTCTATGAATACTTTATGCTGATGTTTAAACTAGACCACCAGGATCAGCCTCATAATCCCTTCCCAGATTATATGTTACCTCACATTTTACACAAAAGCATTATAGGGATTTTTCTTGACATATGCTGGACCCTTCCCAGCTTTGCCTTGCAAAGCTACACTTAGCAAGACAAAGCAGCAGAATAACAGCTCAAAAAACTAGGAGCAAGAGGTTGCTGCCAGAGGAGCATTTGGGTTAAACTCAGCAGCATTACTGCTCCGAACAAGACAGGCTTTGATATTCACTTCACACTTCTGGCAGGACAGACCTGCCACTTTTTTTTTCCTCTCCATCTTCACTTTCCCTTTCTTTATCCTCTTCTTAGTAGCACTTACCCTCAGTCCTTTGCCAGTCTAGCTGCTTCTAGCTACATGTTCTAGAACAGTGTTTTTTCCTGGCTTCCTTGCTCTTTTCAGTCTAAGTGTTTCAGTTCTTGTTTCTTTCAATATCATGAGACAAGATCTTTTTTTTTTTTCCTCTCCTTTTTTCCCCTCAGTCTTCATTTATAAAAGCATATTCTTCCCAGATATATCCCCTTTGGATCTTTTCTCAGCTTTCCATGTTTCTGTATCTTCTGTATAGGCCATGAGGATTGCTTGGTCCACTCTCAGACCTCTATATGCTCTGCTTAGAGAACCTGCTCATCATTCAGCTTATTAGCTTCAAGCAGGAGAAAAAGCCAAGCCAAAAAGGAAAGTAACAAGCATGACCAAAACCAGATTTTCAGATTAGGACAGAAGATTTTTTAAGGATTAGATCACAACTTTTATGTAGCAATGTAAAATGGATAGAAACAAAATATGTGTTTTTTTAAACCAAAAGGTATGTTTCTAATTAGTCTTGTAAGCACTGCCAGAGAAAAAGCTTAGTCCCAAATTACTTTTACTTCATCCATTAAATCTTTCTATTTAGGACATTCTCTTAATATCATGATCTTTCTTACTCTCAATTAATTAATTATATATTTCAAATGCAAACCAATTCAATCAAACACAAATGTCTACCTCAACTAACCACTACCAAATTTAGTAGATGCCTCCTCTCAAAACTGTTTTTTTTTTTCTCTCAAAATGTCCTTTGTGACTTCTAGTGTTCCTAAAAATTAAAAGTGTTTCTTTTTTTTTTTCAGTTAGAAGGCTGGATGGGCTTTTCAGTGATGCACCTGAATGGGTCCAGAGAAAACTACAGAAGAAAACAAGCCTCCATGAGGCTCCTGAGACTTAAAAGGCTCAGCACAAAGACAAAGGAAAGGAAAGTTTTGCTTTTAAACAATTAAGTCCTATGATTTAGGAATACCTACTTTGTCCTTCTGGAATTAAATGTTTATTTGTAGAAACCCTCTCAAAGTTCAAGAAACTGAAAATCCTAAGAGCATTTGCAGAGACATTCACCTACAACCCAGGGTAGTAAACTACAGGCACAGATTCTCCAAGACTCTTAAGCCACACAAGTACCTGGGTCCATTCATGCCTGTTTCAGGAAAAATAATACTTTTGTTTAAGAGATGGCTAGTAGCTATTCAAAGATACCTACAAGAAGTATAAAGCATGAAGGCCAACTCATTGTCCAACATTTTGGACTATTAGCTACTCAGAACCAAAATAAAGTCTAAAACTTGTAAGCCTGCCAGGCTCAATTCCCATTGCTAGTCCAAGATGATCAGTTTTAATAAACTAGTAAGGTCAGTATCCTTTTGTGTGGTTCAGGAGACTTCTTTCATAATATTCATTTACCCCAGAAAGCACACGGCACAGAATTAAGAGGTATGGCAACCCAAAAAGGAGATGATAAATCAAGGTATCCCCCCTTCCCTCTCCACCCACCTTCCTCCCCCTAAAAGTGAATCCAGTATTAACAAGTCAACAGCAGAAAAACAATTGACAATCATTTTAGTAACTTTAGTATGTGACTGGAAAAAAAACTCCAGGTGCTAGACCTCTGAAAATAAGACCATTTCGTCGCTCAAGTTGAATTACGGGAACTTGAGAAAAATTCTGTTTTAGGATAGCTGTCCAAAAACACAGAACAAACTATTCTAGGAAGTTTTTTTCTAAGTGAAATAACACGTTGTTCCAGTATTTGAATTAGCACTCACTGGGAACTTGCCTTCAAATGTCTTACAATACAATGACTCACTATTTCTTTGAAACTGAATTCTTGACCATGAAATTTTCAGTTTCTAAGTAGTGTTGTATCATACACAGTCCCTTTAAGTCTGAATATCTTGAAAAACATACAAA